TGGAGGCTGCATGTGTGAGTTTGTCTGTGTGCACGTGCGTGCTTCTGTGCATGCATGTGTGTGTGTGTGTGTGTGTGTGTGTGTGTGTGTGCTGGTGTGTGTCCGCGCGTGATGCACTTTGCACGCAGCAATGCTCCTTGTATGTGTGTGTGTGTGTGTGTGTGTGTGTGTGCGCGCACACACACTCGCGTGTGTGCATGTTTGACGGAGTGTGCAGCAGCTGCCGGGCAGCTGGTGAGCATCTGACCGCCCTGCTGCGAGCAGAGACACCCAGCAAGCAACAGCAAGCGCGTCCCCAGCTCGCCGCCGCCCGCGCCCGCGCCCCCGCCGACCCTCAAGCCCCCCTCATCGCCGCCATCCAGCCCAACGAGCCGCCCTCAGCCCCGTCCGCACCCCTCCTCAACCCCCCAGGGCTCCTGGATCAAGCTGGGCGCTGTCATCATCGACGTCGGCACCAACCCCATCGACGACTCATCCAAGAAGCTGGGCTACCGCCTTGTTGGCGACTGCGACTTTGACTCCTGCCAGCCAGTGGCGGGCGCGATCACGGCGGTCCCGGGCGGCGTGGGGCCGATGACAATCGCGCTGCTGCTCAAGAACACGCTGGCCTCGGCGCAGCGGTTTGTCGAAGGAACCTTCGGGTGAGGGGCGCTTTGGGGTTGGGGAGGGGCCGAGGGCAGGGTTGCTCCGTGCTGACGTGTTGAATGCGCTCGGCCGGCCGAGAGGCCGCTGGGCGGGGGCAAGCACTGCCCGCATGCAGACGCCGCTGTTGCGTCGCCAGCTGTGGTGCGCGACGGCATCCGCCCCGAGCACTGCACATCTGGGCAGGCAGCTTCAGGGGCCGTGTGGAACTGCAGGTGGTGCGGCCCAAGCAGGGGTCATCTCATATGCTATTCACAGGTGTGCTCTTGCGGTATGATGAGATCTAGCGCTCACCGCACTTTGTTGCTCCTCTTGGATCAGTGCTGCAAACGCCTGCACAATTTGCAGGAGCCATTGAGGTGAAGCTGATGCAGGGCATCCTGGAGGGCCACATTGAGCAGGCCAAGAAGGACGGCTTTGCCATGTGGTGCCACAATGCGACGCAGCAGAGCTACGAGCCAGTGTGGGTGGTTCTAACAGACCTGGACCAGGTGCGTGAGTTGCTGAGGCTGATTCGCATCATCCTAGACAAGTTGGGCCAGGCTTTTATTGTGTTTGTTGCAGGTGTGTTTCCGTGCACATGGCAATGCTGGTGTGGGCACAAAGCGGCTGCCATCTGTAGCTGCATGTGATATCATACACCCCTCACAATACACCTGCTGTGTGACGCTGCCGCCACAGGTGCTGCGCGTCACCTATGATGGCTACAATGGCCCGGGCGGAGGGGCACGCGCATATGTCAAGGGGATGCCATTTGCGCATGTGCACGGACAACTCAAGTAAGGTCACATGCCTGGCAGGAGCCCACAAAGCCATCGCTTCACCAATTGTTTTTGGCATCACCGGAGCATTGTGTGCTTTGTGGGCAGCGCTAGCGCTGCTGCTGGAGGATTGCATAGTGAGCTTTTGTCAGCATGGCTGTTGTCGCACTTTGTGAGTGCCGAGCTGCCCTGCGATGATGACTGGGTTGCGGCAAGACTGACCACAACCATGGCGTGCACATGCACAGGTGGACGAATACCTACACGCTCTTCACCCGCGAGGGCAGCTTGCGTCGCTGCGCTTGGGGCGCACCCCTAGCTGGTTGCGCTTTCATTGGCGGGCTGCTGGGTGCATCTTCTCCCAGCGTGGCCGCCCTTTGTGAGCGCGCAAAGCAGCACAAGGAGAAGACCCAGGAGCTGCTCAAGCTTGCCATGGAGCCGCTGCCCAAAACCAAGAAGCCCAGACTGGAGGACAGTTGAACCACTGCACAGGTATAGGCGTATCGCCGCAGGGCTTATCTGCATGTTTGTGCGCATGTTGTGCATGTGTGAGCTTTCTAGTCCGCTCGTTCAGGCTGAGTAACACCTGCTGATATGCTCATCTTGGGTTGTGTGCGTCTTTGCTTTTGGGTTCTTGGCCCCGCCCCTGTTGGTCACATCAGTCCATTGTGTGATTTTCTGCGTTGAAGCCCCGTCCTGCACATAAGCGGAACCCCTTCTCAACCCTCTCACCTCCCCCCCCCCTCCGCCCCGTACTCCTTGATCTCGCCCTTATGCTGCAACATGCAGCTCTCCGCCACTGGTGTGCTGCTCATCTGCAGGGTGACGGGCAGCAACCGCAGGTCAGCAGCGACGCTCTCGTGCTGGGTGGTGTGTCTGAGCGACTCACTCACCAGTGGCCACAGCTGCGCGGTCGTCGGGCGCGGCTGCTCCATCTCAAGGCACTTGTAACGGTTCATGCCTTCACCAAGCATGGCCCGCTTAGGGTTCAGCGCGCTAGGCCATAGCGCAGGGGCCGCCGATGGCCGCCCGCTTACAGCAACAAAATGAGACTGCCTGTACAGAAGATTTGCGGGACGGACTGAAGCGGTGCAGCCCAGCGCAGCGCGGCGCGACGGATTAGGATTAGGATTAGGATTGTTACAAGATCCCGCGGTCGCCCGCTCCTGGAGCCATCCAGGCTCATGGGATGTAGCGTTGTGGCATTCACGTTGTGCGACTGGGACTCAAGTGGCCATCATTCGCCGTTCCAAGCGAGTGTGCACAAAGGCCCCACGTGTTTGCAAGTCTGCGCTACACACACGGGCGTGCATGCCGGCATGTGCATGCAGGTTCACAAACAAGGGTGCAAAGCGCGGCGCGGCATGTGTGAGCTTGGCGGCTGTCCGCCCTCGGCGCCAACGCGACGGGCCCGGACAAAAAGCAAGACACGCACGCGTGCACGCAGGCGGGGGCCCGCCGGCGTGAAAACACGCAGCAGCCGTCCCAATTGTTGATAGTGACAGCAAGCACCACCATATGCAGCATGCCAGCTACCACCACTCAGCTTCAGCTTCCATCATCTGGCAGCAGGTGAGTCATGCATGGTTGCCAGTTGAGACTTTGCTTCGTCGACCAGACCATGCCTCATCGACTTCCCTGCCATGTTCTGTCGAGTGTCCCTCAAGAAAGCCCAGGCAGCCATCAACGTCACCCCTTCCCCCCCCCCCCAGGAAGGGCGGGATGCTCACGGCCATGTGCAGCCAGGCAGCTGCCTTCCCTGTCAACCCTGCTGCTGCTATCGCGTTGTTTGCAGCTCCCTCCGCGGCCGCTGCTGCAGCCGTTGTTGTGGCCCCTCGCCTTAGACACGTTGGTACGCAAAATGCAATCACACCACCCTTGACCACATCAGGCTGCTGTGGTCGTTGTGCCTACCATGCAGTGTCTGCGTTCTGATGTGGTGCCTGGTGATGGGCCAAGGTTTTTCTGCACTGTTGTTTTTGATTTGCGGCCGAATCATTATGTGACGGTGCCAGATGGCTCCAGAATCGGGCGCCTACAGGATGCTGTAACAATCCCGATCCATCTGCGCGGTCCAGTGTTGGCGGGCGCGCTTTGCTGCATCGCTTCGACGCACGCTGCAGCGCTACCTGCCTCGACGCCCCACCATCATGGTGGGGCGATTGTTAGGGCACTGCGTCTAAGTGTTGTTGGTGTACCCCGGCTATAGAACCTACACCGGGGCTTGTCTCCTCAGATCGTGCATTCCTACTACTCCTAGAGACCAGGTCAAAAGCCTCAGCTTGATCAAAAGCCCTCAATCAAGCACGTTACTGCACAAAGCCTGGAAGCAGGCAAGCAAGA